CTGTGCATTAAGATCAGCTAGAGGTCCTGCTTGTACATTTGGCAGAAGGAATGGTTAGGTTAGCAGAAGTGTCAGTTTCTGTGGTGCCCCCAAGGTGATGGTACTCCCTTCCTCAGGAGTAACATTTAGTCCCCTCCTTATTTTCTTTTAGGAGAGCCCCAAAAAGTTTTTGTTTCAGACTGCATTTAATTAAAAGTGTAGCTTAGAGTTTTAGTGATGTTTTCAGTGGCTCTGACTTTTGATCCTATGGAAAGAATGGATGGCTGGAATAAAAGTTGCAATATTATTATAGGAATTACTCCTTTTCATTTATTACTGATTTTTTTAATGTTTAAGTGGGATAAATGTTTATTTACTTGTTTGTTATATTAGTATCTCAGCTTTCCTCCAAGGAGCAAAGGTGGGGTGTACAGTCTTCCTTCTTTCCATTTTATTCTCACAATAACCTTGTTAGGTAGGTTAGGCCAAGAGATAGTGACTGGCTTAAAGTCATGCAGTTGACTTTCAGCCACAGATGAATGGATCTGGGTTTCCTGAGTCCCAGTCTAGTAACAATCCCATGCTGGCCTTTAGTTTATGCATGCCATCTTGAGAAAATACTGTATTTTGACAAGTGGCTTATAATCTTCTAAATAAAGTCTTCAACTTTTCTGTTGTGGATGAAATACTGCTAGGTCTATCAAACTGGTACCTAACATCAGTATAAATTCCCTGTATAATTAACACAAACAATTGCTGGAGAGAAACAAAGAAGTGTATGACACAATGCCACTGCATTATTTTATTTAGCGTAATTTCTAATTCATATTTTATAAAGAGCCCACCACTGATACCAGAGTATCAAATGGATCAGTATCAAAGACAGTTTAAAATAATATAAACATTGTTATTCTTCTGGAGAGGAGGGAGGAACATAAATCTAACCATTCTGGAGAGGAGTGGAACATAAATCTGACCATCTTGCAAGGCTCTGACATTGTTTCTTTTATATCTACATCCCACGCATGTCCATTAAGAGAACTGAGTCTTGATAAAAAACTGCTACATGACTCAACACATGTTAGAGATAGCTCATTAGCAATGGCTTATCACTACAAAGGTACAATCCTATGCAAGTCAAGTCAAAAAAGGCCCACAATTCCTTCCATGTCCTAGCCAATATATCATGTTGAGAGTTATAGGCATTTTGATTGTCTGAACTTCCACAGGATTGTGCACCAATTCTGACTTCTGGATTCTCCCTTTCTTCCCTACTAAACTAAATCAATGCTTCTCAAATATGGAGACAGTGAGCTTTCATGAAAAGAGTGGGGTGGGTGAGGAACAATCTACTAGAACCACGTGAGTCTTAGCTTTCTGCAGAAATAAAAAGTCCACAAGAAGCCACCATGTGGTCCTTTACTAATCACAAGAATCTCAGATAGGAAAGTAATCAAACAGGCTCTTCTATGCTTATTTTGGGACGAAGGCATAATCAGCCTGAAGTTCAGTCTAAGCCTTGCTCCCCACCCTTGCTTCTGCCAGTCAGGGAAGGGGAGGCAAGAGTGAAGCTGCATCTGAACCAAATTGTTGCCTCAAGAATTGCTGCTCAAGGTGCTGAGTTAGCTTTGCTCACATTTCACTTGAGGTGGCTCAGTTGACATCACTCCCCTATTGTCTTTCCTAATCGGCCTGGACATGCTGAAGAGTAGTCTAAATGTAGTCAAAACACTTTCAAGCAGCGCTTAGTGTCTTTTTCAGCATTTCAAATTATTCCTTTACACATTTGTTAAATCTACCTTTGCTATAGTTATCACATACCCTCATCTTGCTCATTATAGTTTGGCTCTCCATCGTCATGTCATTTGTGGCATTAGAATATCTTCACTTCTAGTTGGGAGTCTGAACTCCTCCACTGTTCATACCCATCTGGGGCAAAAGGCAGCATGTAAATGCTCATGAAAATAACAACATTCCTTAATTTAAAAACTGATTTAAAATTATTATTTTCCTGCACTGCACCATTTTGCCCTTTCCCTTTGCTGTTATTCTAGTTTTAAGTAGAACAGTTTACTAAATGCAATGTCTGCTTGCAATCATAATGCTCCTACCTCCTCTCCCATTCCTCTTCTGATTTGTAGGTCCACTGCTACACAAAGATTTAGTTAAGCTTGGTAATTCTCTCACTACAGTTCTGAAGCAAGGATTGTGTTCCTCCCCCAATTTCCCCCCCGTAGAATCCATAAAGATATTTTAAAATGTGAAAATCAATAGATTGTGAAAATCTCCCCACCACCACCACACGCACACAAGTTAGTAAGAGGAGTTTTTTTAAACTGTGGTGACTTCACTTTTAATTTTTAAACATAAGCCATCCCCTGCTACCACCACTCAAGATTATGTTTGTATGACAGTCAGAACACTGGAATGCTATTTATATAGCACTAATCAGACAAGGGCAAAACCAGCTGGTTTGTAACCAAGGACACACAGAAAGTTATGTCTGGCAGCAATAGGCCAGGGAAATCTTGCGCTTCTTTCAACATGACTCAAAATTGCATGCAGAACAGAAAACGGCTAATTTACAGCTCTTGCAATATTTGGTAACAATGCCCTCTTCATGTGTGACTTGGCTGAAGAGGCAGCATCAATACAGCAGGGCTGCCTGCTCAGCCCTGCCCCGAAGGCTCCATAACTCCTCCCCAGTCCCCATCTGATAAAGAGGCACATCTGAAGCTGGGAATTTCTGTAGGCCTGAAGTCTCCCTGTGCAATTTAGAACCCTGGAAGAGCAGGAAACTAAATCATGTGGGTAGACATTATGCACAGAAAAGGCTCTTTGAAGCAGGCGTTATCCCTGAACACATGAGCAGTTGGAGGGAATTATGCAACCTCAGGGGTGGTACAATCTATTACCTAGCTGTATCTATATTGCTTCTTAATTCCAGCAATACCTGTATATGTCAGTAATTCTAAATATTCCTATCTGACAATAAGGTCCTCAAGAAAGAAAAGACAAACATGCAATCATTAAGTTATTTGCTTAATTTATCCTATGTCACCCTCCAAGAAGAAAAGGCTATCCTCATAAAATATCCAGCAATTATTAAAGGAGCCAGCAGACTTAGGAACAAAAACATCCAAGGCAGTATGCTTTTCCAATCAGCAGGGTCCTATATGACAAAATACCATTAAAGAGTTTTGAACACTGGTGGAATTTGGTGCAGCGTGTGTTCTTTATCAGTAGCAGCACAAAATATACCATGTATCATAGGAGTCTGCAGCAAAGTTGGAATTCAAAGTTATTTGAAAAGTTACATTTGGTAATAGTAAGAATGCTATTGTAGAAATGTTCAAAGAAGAAAATAATGTGCTTGCTGAAGAGTATGCTCTTGTACCTTGTCCTTCTGTATTTCACTGTTCTCTTTTGAAAATAAATTTCTCTCCCACACACAAAAGCAATTAAATATTTTCAAAGACATTGTCTGGAATTGGGAGCTCTATCTATTATAATGGCGGGTGTATTTTAATTCCTGGGAGTTGTTTATTATGAAAGGGAAGTGAAAGCTGTGTTTGCAGATGGAGATGATAAAGCTCTACTTGCAAACAGCTACAGAAATATAAACATTTACTTCTTAAAATGTAAAACGGATGTCTGATATAAAATTACAGGAAAAATGAGATTATGTTCAAAAGTTCCTAAAGTCTATGCTTACAACTACCACGATAAAGCAATTAATCCATCCAACTTAATGAGATAAATCTCAATATAAATAAATTCAAGAAAATAATTAAAAAGTAAGAAAACTATAGCCTACTGAACAACACAAATAACCAAATAATTAATCTCCAAGGAAAAGAGAATGATACCAGCCCTGGTGATGTACCATATGCATATGGTGCTAACATTATATAGTCTGCCTAAGCATGAAAATGTTACAACAGGATAGAAGTGAAACATACAGCTATTTCTAAGTAATTGTTTCTAAGTGTTTCAGGTTCTTTTCCAGATATAAGGATATATATATGTATTACCCTTCTTACATTGCCTTTGCAAACATTACATATGTAAACTTATTTTTAAAGGAGATATATACAGTTCACGTAAAATTGGAAGAAAAGTGGGATAGGAGACTGGACCAGGCAAAGACCTGGTTTACATGGTCATGTTGGAGGACAGAAGCTACACTGGCTTATTTCCCTCTCTACATATGCCAGTTGTATGCTGGAGATGGCAGTGGCATTTGCATTTATTCTTGCCAGCACAGATTGCTGGATCATTTGAGCCTGGTGATTATTTGCCGCCATGGTTAACAAACCACTCCGGAACCCTCAAAAAGCCGATCTAGTAATAATAGAGTCCCCTCCTAATATTGGGTGCTTTCAGCTGAAGGGCTATCAGCGCCATCAAACAAAAGCACCATGCAGCTATTCCATTGGTTCCTCCTTAATGAATTGCTTCTGTTTAAATTGTGATGGCGGAAGTGATAGGAAAACGCATGATAATTACAAGTGGATGTTGGTGATGTGTAGGCCCCTCTAAAATCCTCTAAACCCTCACACCCTAACATTCACTCACTGCAAGGGAGATCCCAGAGGGAAATGAAGGCAGTCTGATTCTTCTGCCACCAAAATTAAGACTGAGTGGGGCAGGATGTTGTTCAAAATCAATTCACCTTCTTTACATCAATTAAATCTCTCCACTGATAACTTCAGGAACTAAGGAAAATCGCAGATATACAGGAACAGTGTGTCCTCCCCTACCAACAGTTGTTTTGTAGATTCAGAGAGACTGTACCATTGTGGGGGTGGAGGATGGGTTCTCAGTCCACCCCCACAGTGCCTGATTCACTAGGAGAGGAAGAAGGAAGGTGCTGCCCCTCCTTCTTTTCTCAGAATTCCCTTTTTTCTACTAAGGGCAAAATGAGAACTGCAACTTAGAGTAACTTAGGGCCTGCTGGACCTCAAGCATAGCCCAAGATACATGACTACAGAAGTAACATGCTTCCTCTGTCTTCTCACCTCTCTGGTCTGGGAATCCAGATACTGCAAGATGATTCTTGTATTCACACTATGACTCCAAGTATTCCCCAGTGCTGCGGTCACATAGCCAGAATGTTCATCTCCATTTCTAGAAGAGCCTAGGGTGGGAAAAAAACCCAAAAATGATTGCAGGTTTAATGTTGTGTTATTGTAACTGAAGAAAAATAAATAAACCTCACACTTTAAGTCCAGTGTATTTTCCAAGAGAAATGAAACAAGAGGGAAAAACCACTTTCACATTATTATGGATAACGTCTTATTGAAGGGTTGTTCTTAATGGGATTCATTTACTGGTTCTTATATCCATGTCATAAAAAACAAAGTGAGGTTTCACCAATATCGTCCACACTGGAGACTTGCAATTTGCATCCAAACATCTTCTCATGGAACAGCCATGACCAAAGTTCTCAGAATTCCTTCCCCCTTCCCATGATATTATGCAATTCAGAGAAAGAAATCACTCCCCCCCACCTTAACATTTCACTCATATTAACCCAAACCTCTACACAGAAGCAGCTTCTTTGTGAGAAACTTGCAATGTCTCAAAATAGACCTGAAAAGGAAGTAAGGCAATTATCTACTTTTAGAGCTTAGAAAAATGGTGAGAATAAGAAAGCTCTAACTAGGTTTGCACAACATGATACCCCATAATGGGAGAACCTGAACTGCTTCTTGCAAGGTGGCTTCCTTGAGAGCAACAAGCCATCCTGACAACCAATGACTTGTTCTTGGGATTGTTGAACTCATAATGCATGGTACTATTATTTGAACCCAGGTGACCAATGCCATCATGGGTAGCAGGAAGTACTTAAGTGAGCTGTTTGGGAAGAGGGGCAGAAATCTGAGATCTTCTAGTCCACTACCAGCCACCCCAATGATGTACCACCACAGAGAGAGCAACTCTTGGTGCCTTGATGTTCTCCGCTATGACTACGAGACCATGGTAGTTGTGGAATTTTCCCCATTTATTTGGAAATTCTGAAAAGCAATCAAAGTGCAGGATTCCTTTTAAAAGGGGTTGGGGGTTTAACACTGCATATCTGAGTTTGGTGACCCAAGCCCTAGCCCTGTGAAAATCCCCTGGGTAATCATGTCAAAAACCTTGTTTTAAAGGGATGTCTCAGTTTTGGCAGCTGTCAAAACATCATGCTTTCATAAATGGGGTGGCTCACACTTATTCATGTTCCCAAGCACCTAGAGTCTTGGGAAAAGGTGGAAAGTTGTAAGAACACTGGGAAACATCAGATCCACAAACAAAACTTAACTCTACAGGATCCTGCTATGAAAGGAAGTATCTTCTTGCCATCCTTTTCCATAAGCAAAGATCTCACCCAGCTTTGCTTGACCTTGACAGTTTGCCTTTTGACAGCTATTAAGAGAGTGCACAGTAAAAAAAAATTAACCTATTTGCACCCTCTCTAGATCAATGTTCGTGATTGGTGTCTACTGCACTGTGTCTCACAACATGGCAAGTCTTCCTAAACATATGTCCCTCCCCACTTGCACAAGTCCAACTTAAAAACAAAAATAAATTGTGTGCAGATTTCTTGCATTTAAAGGGAGTGATCCTGTGACAGCTCCTCCGGTGTACTGCCTGACTTTTACTGCCTGTCAATTTGTAGTTCATGAAAAGCAATCTTTGAAAATAAAAGGTGAAAAGGTGCAAAAAGCCAAAGAAAGTTAAAAAAGGGACACATGATGGCAGTGGTAAGGGGAGATAGCAGCTTTAGTCACCACATACCCTGGGAACCTAGCTAGAGAACCAGGGTGGGGACAGCTCATAGTTAGCACAATCATTCGCTGGGTCTACTATAAGTTGCAGGGTGGTTACCATGACATGCAAACCTGTGCACTGTGTTAGAACTTTGTATTGCTTCAGTATCTCAAAACAAAGAGAGGACACTGGATTGCAACCTTTCTCTATGGCTGGCCATTTTTTGTTTTTCTTTTTCCCTTTTAGCACAAAGTACTGAATACATGGTAAATTAATCATCTAAAGCATTACTCACAATCAGAAAAGGCTCACATTCATATGAAATAAAATTAGGATTCCTCATTCAATTAGTAGAATTTTTATTACATAATTAAAAAGAGAGCCAGTGTGGTGTAGTGGTTAAGAGCATGGGACTGGGACTCAGAGGATCTGGGTTCTAGTCCCCCGCTCAGCCATGGAGCCAACTGGGTGACTTTGGGCCAGTCACAAACTCTCAGCCCAACCTACCTCACAGGGTTGTTGTTGTGGGGATAAGATGGAGGAGGAGATGTAAGCTGCCTTGAGCCCTTTGTAGGAAAAAGGCAGGATATAAATCGAAAAAGAAATAAAAATAAATAAAAAGGTCAGTATAACAAACAGAACCTATATAAAAAAATAGTCTGACTCATCAGAAAACCAAATGGTTCTTGCTGAAGCCCATATTAAACTTCCTAATGTTCTTATTTCTGCACTCCCTAGCCCTTCTCAAATTCTGAAACTAGGAGATGGGCATGGCTAGTAAATGGTTAATCAACATCATGCAAGTAGAGAAAATATATCTTTGCTCACTTTATGTCATAGCACATTCCAATACACACTGAAGACTTCTATTTATATGGACAGGTACCTACTCTGCTCTTTTTTTCAGTGCGGAAACTTGTAGTACTTGGCTACAGCAGCACCTGCCTTGTCAATTATTTTCAGGACTATTTCTGTGACCAACATTCAGATAAAATTTGTTCATCATAGGTATGCCTTCACATAAACCAGGTCTATGTTGAAGGATAGAACCCACTTCCATTTTAGCAGGTGGGTGAAAGCCAGGGAATTCCTGACAGAGAAATGCTATATTTAACAGAGAAATATATGTTAAGCCTTTGCATACATTATACAAGGGGTCTTCTAAAAGTTTCCACATTTTTTTAAACTCTATTTATTAAGAATTTCAAAAACAAATTATATCACTTTTCTACATAGTCACCTTGCTTTGCCATGCATTTTTCCCAGCATCATGCCAATTTTTAATGCCATCAGCAAAAAATACATTAATAAAATATAAAAGTGCAGAAACTTTTTGAAGACCCCTCGTACATGTGTAAAACAGAGGAAAGCAACAAAAAAGCAGCACTGTGTGAGCCATGGAGGAAATGGAGCAGCTCCTTGAGAGGGTTCAAGCAGCAGATGAGATACATTGCCCCTTCTCCTTGCACTTCACAAAGACAACAGATGTCCCAGGGCAGGAAATTAGAAATAGCCGTAACAGAGATAAGAGCTCAGATTTAACTCTTTAAACAAAATTTTATTATTGCAACTGTGAAACGAGATTTTAACAAGCTCCTTAAAGAAGATCAATGGAAGTTACTGTTCAGACACACATCCCTTCCCTACTTCATCCTCACCTTTACTGTAAGTATTTTCTTATTTGGAGATGAATGTCATTTTATCCTAAGAAAAGGCCAAGAAAGAGAGAACAATTTGTTGAACTTTCTTAGTTTGCCAAGACCATTATTAAAGTTTAATTTCTCTGTAAGTCTTTCCTCTATCTTTCAACACCCTATTACTTTCATGATTCACTCCTCTGGCTGATGGAACAAAATGTTACATCTTGCAATAGACTCTGTCCATCTCCTGGCTCCCGTTGCCATGCTATTATTCTGTCTAAGCCATATAACTTCGCATAGCTTTGTCTGATGCTACAGAAGATCAGGCAGATATCTTCAGGTTCGCCAATCCAGCTTCCATTCAACATGTACAACTCACACACTTTACCAAGGGTGTGCATGTGTCACATGTGCCAGATACTTCAAGGAACCATGTCTGATACATGACATAAAGAAGTAAACCAGAACACAATAGCCTGTTATTGACCCAGTTTACACATAACTTGCATTCATAGGTGAATTAAGACATGAATTCCTGGGTGCAAGTGGAGCTGAGGGTGTATGCTGCCTCTAGCATGCTTGTCACTTCTACTTTCAATTTACAAGCTACATGCATCCTGTTTATGGGTTGGTGGCATGATTAATAACTAGGGTCTGGTTATAACCACAAGGTGTAATTTGTGATCGTGTTTGGTTGCTTGGGCCTAATTGATTGGCTGGGTGGTACGTGTGAAGCTCTGAGTGGTTGAGGATAGGACTGTGCTCTGAGTGGACGCTGAGAGCATGTGGAGGTTTCTGGTATGTGCTGGGAAATCTCAGATACAGGAACTCATGGAGGTGGCCCTGCCATCCCCGTGACCTCAGGCAGAAGGAGACATTGCAGGACAAGGGAATTGAACACCAGAACAGAATATGTTACAGTTGTTTCTATAGTGCCTGCTTATCCCCCCTCTCCAGCTCTCATGTACCTGGTGACTTATCCACCAAGCCCTCCTGTCTTCTGGTGCTGCTATTTAACACCAGATTGAACTGCAGTAAGACTGCACACATCCATGACTTAATCATGGATAAGAAACCCATCTGCCAGGTATTACTGGATGAGGCTGACTGGACTCACTTCTACTCGCCTGGGTAGTCAGTGCAGGACCAGCATAGGAAGGAGTGGGAGGCATCATGATTCACAGCACTTCCATCACTCTCATTACAAAACCACTCAACCTTGGAGTGGATCTTGAGAGGCTGCACCTGCTGTTGGGTCAAATATACATACTGGGTATGCTGCTAGTGTAACAGGCAATTCTGCAGCCTCTTTGTTGCTCAGAAATCTTCCTGACTGAACTGGCTGGGGTACTCAGGACATTGTTTTGAGTGACTTTAATTTCCATGCTGAAGCTGCCTCTAGAATCCCAGTCTGGGATTTAATAGCCTCCATGACAACTGTAGGGCTGTCTCACTGGGAGAAAGCCTTGATTTGGTCTTTGCTCAAAACTGTGAGATGAGCAATCTGGAAAGTGATGGTCTAGGTAACCCCACTGGCATGCTCTAAACAATTTCCTGGTACAATGTGAAGTCATAGCATTGCTTCCTTATTTCTCTAGCTCCTAGTTGGGAGTGAGAAAGACAGTTGCTCTTTGTGCGCAGTGGAATTCAGAGGAGGAGGCAGAGTGGGGGGGTGTGCCCAGAATGTGGACCAATTCCAGATGTTGAGATGAGAGAAGTGGAGATATTTATCTCAAGGCCAGGC